TATATGTATATATGTATATATGTATATACTGCGTACCACCTGACCATAAAAAGTTTGTTCAAAGAAAAGTTAGGCTAAAAACTTTCTTGTTTATGACTCAATTGACATCAAATTTGACTGGACACTAGAACATACATCCGGATTATGTTGTTGCACAACGGAAAGATGATAGACCCCGACAACGTGCTTTTTTCTCTAAAATGTGTCAGCAAACACAATCTCTCAAATCTACCTGGGCATAATTTGCTCGGGAATATAGACTTTCTATCTCTTACAAACCTAATTTTCCAAGCAAAGGGTGCATTTTGTAATTGGCTGCAAATTGTGAAAGGTTTTAATCCATATACAATAAGATTTGAATTCTTAACGCCGAGTAACACACGGAAGTCGGCCTGTAAAAACAACGCGCTCTTGGAAAGGTTAAGGTGGTCCGTCGTTCGGTGAACCATGACCGACACCTCGTCATCTTACCAAAATTCTGGAGGGGCTTTGGAGTTAAATTAGAATGTGTTGATTATGAAGGGAGAAATCATCGGCGCTTCCAGCAAGATACGGCTTCTCCTCATGACGCCAGAGCTGTTCTGGGCCTGGTCAACAACCGTTTTGATTACAGGACAGTCAGTCCGACTGAGCGCAACAGGGCACCAAACAATCCGGACCTGAGTCCACTGGACTTTCGCCATTGGGGGTGTTTGAAGGGCAAAGTGTGCGTGGGGGAAACCTGCGAAAGTATCCAAGACTTGAGAGAACCCATCACAGAGGGCACAACAGAGATCTCTCTCGAGCAGTGTCAACGCATGATTGTCAATTCCCCTCAGCCTGTCCGAAAGGGCTTTTCTCGAAATTGGGTGTAGCTTGAAGATATCTTGTAACTTTGTTTGTAGCAATCATATTCTATTATTATTTATACATAATACATCTGGAAGTATGTTCTTCCACGTTTGTGCAAACTTTGATGTTTGCACTTTTATTCATAATGGTTTTATAGGGCTGCCTTGTGGGCGAACTTTTTATCTCGTCATCTGGTACATGTAAACGCACCTCCTCTCCCACAAGCATACTTATTATATGCACCCCCCCCCCCACACACACACACACTCACACACCTACTACTAACTGCCCTCCGCAGCCCCTATCACCCCAAATTTGGGTTTGAGATTAGCGGGCGAGGAGAAGGATTTCTTCAAAGACAGGCTTAATTAGTGCTTTCAGGGTGAGTTATGTCCACATAAAGCTATGGCTAATCCGTCTTGTGTCATGGAGTATTGTGAAGCGAACTCTCCCCCCCCCCCTGCTCCCGTTCCCTCCTCGCCCCTTACTTCACTTCTTCCCCTTCACTGTTGTCCACACCGAAAAATGACGTGCAACCATTTAACACTCCCATGGACGTGATTTAAATCAGTGCTTATCAACGTTTTTAAAGCCAGCGCCCACTTTTGCCACCTTTAAGTTAAAAGGCTAACATTTTCGTACCACCCAGTTACATAATGTACAAGTATTTCCAAGTGGGGCATACCCATTACGCCTGTTACTCCCTGCGAGGCCTCCACCTCCGACCAAAATGTCCAATTAGCCGTCGGGGTGGCAGTACCGTCCTGGTTGGCGAGCTCTGGTTTAGATCATTTAGGAAGCGGGCGTCTTCGACCCTGCTTGTAAGGCCCATCCCGTGCGTGTGGGAGACTGCAGCATATTCTAGTACTTCTGAAAGACAAAAAACCTCCGAGGTCTTGAGTGCACGTTGCGCCCGTTAATGACCCCTTGGTGGTTCAAAATCGCAGAAGAGCAGGCTGTTAGGCCGCCACCCGAGCAAAATTAAAAAATTAAAAATTCCCTACCTTAAAAATAATGTATACGTAATACGCATATGAAAATGACAAGACGCGTACTTTCACCTTCCTTGATTTCGAACATATTGATCATGTCTCTCCTTTGGAGCATATCAAGGAAGTCAAAATCTGAAGAAAAAAAAGGGAGTAGCACTTTCGCAATCGACTTCCTCAATGTCTATACAACCCTGGCAAAACTGTATTTTACAAACTGCTCTAAAGATCGTTTGTCAATACACAAAAGTCCAAAGGAAGACGGGAGATATTCAATTAAATGAAATATCTTCCCCTGTCGGGGAACCAACTCCCTTCTTTTAGTACTTTCCCCCTTCTTTTTCGTAGAAGGGGAAGTTGCTGTGCGTTATAGAACAGAAGCCAGTAACATTTTCCCAACGAGTCCTGTCCGCCCACGAGTTGGGAGCGAAGTGGATAATCGGATAATATGGCTTGTGCATTCTGCGAAATAACAAAGACTTCATCAAACTGGCGTTTGTGGTGAAGCGGTCAAGTGACCCACTGTTGTACACAGAAGAGCAGAGTTCGATTCTCTTGTTGGGGTAATTTTTATCGAGCAGCTCAGTCTTTCTGCTGGGACGTTGTATCTGTATCCCTCTCTGCCCGGGTAGGCCCTGACTGGCAACGTCAAAGCACACCTCCTAATTGATGCAAATATTGTCGATAGAGGCGTAAAAACACCCACACTGAGAAATTAATTTGACTGCATCAATCATAAACTTCATTTGAAGATAAACAGAGGGGGGCATGGATATTTGCAGGTAACTTGACGACATTTGTTGTTGTTGTTGTTTTTGTTGTTGTTTTTGTTTGTGATTGTTTGTTTGTTGCTGCTTTGTTTTGTTTTTGTGAAAGAAAACGATGTCATTTCTTGTAGCTTTGGACGTATGCAGCCTTTTTCTGTTTTGCTATACAAGGTAGGTTTTGACATTAATCAGTGTCCTTGTCAAGTCTGTTACCTAACCCCCATCCCCCAACTACCCCATTTTTTAATAAATAAAAGCCATGCTTCCCCC